TAGCAGCCAAATCCTTTAACCACTGCACCACCATAGCTTTTCAGGATTTACTATACAAACCAAAAACCAAACTCATTGCCGACGAGTCGATTCCAACTCATAGCAACCCCTCCTTGGGCTTCCGAGGTGTTATCTCTATGGAAGTAGATTGCCCAGTCTTCCTTCTGAGGAGTGGTTGGTGGGTTTGAACTGCCAGGCTTCTGGTTAGCAGTCAAATGCCTTAGGCACTATGCTACCAGAGCTCCTAGGATTTACTATAGAAATCAAGTTCCATTTTATGTGGATTTACTATAGAAATCAAGTTCCATTTTATGTGGATTTACTATAGAAATCAAGTTCCATTCCTGGAAATGGTTTGTTTTGTTTTCTGGATTTTGAGCCCATACTAAATATGTTAAGAGTATTTTATAGAATATGAAAAAGATTTGTTCTAATAGATTAATGAAGATTAAGAGTTACATACATACAACTGAATGCATTAATAGTTACAGTCTACCCCCAGACTTAACATCATCACACTTATGGATACTCTGTGTTCCTCACTGGGTGTAAACTCATGAGGATGTGGACTATATCTATTATGTTCTCTGTGGTGTCTACCTGCATGTAGAAAGCTTTCTACAGATTTTTTAAAAATTCTTGAGTTCAAATCCTCAATATTTATAAACTATAGTATCTTTAAAAAGAGGCTATTAATGCTATGAGTCTATTCTCATTAATAAACTCTACTGTACACACATACCACCTTTGTGTATCATTTTAGATGAAGTTAAGCAAAGAAAAGGGGCAGTTCGTGGTTCAAGTGGTAGAATTTTCCTCATCCATTTGGAGATCCAAGTTCCATTTATGTCTAATGCACCTCAAGCACAGCCCTCACTCATTGTCAGTATAAGCATTGTTAGATGCTAAATAGGTTTAAGACAGATTAGGTAGAAAGGCCTGACAATACGCTTCCAAAAAATCAGCCAGTGAAAAAACCCTATGGCTCACAACAGTCAGATCCCACTGGGCATGGGATGGACATGAATTGGGTTACTCGACAGCAATGAACAACAATAGCAAGTAAAGAAATGTTACATTCATATATTTTTTTCCTTAGCAAACATAGTTTACTGGGTGTCATGTTTTAAGAGTTTTTCATGTATTTGGGAGCTATAGTGGCACAGTGGTTAAGAGCTTCACTGCTAACCAAAATGTCAGCGGTTCAAATTCCACCAGCCACTCTTTGGAAAAAGACATGGCAGTTTATTTCTATAAAGATTGACAGTGTTGGAAACCCTATGGCGCAGTTCTGCTCTGTCTTATAGGGTACCAAGAGTTGGAATCAACTCAACTGCAAAGGGTTTGTTTTTTGGGGGAGGGGTTTAACATGTATTAGCTAATATATTCATACATACACATACATTTATATAGTTGTAATCTAGCTTCAGTAAAATAAACTTTTGTATTATTATTTAAATCAACTATTTCTTGAACAACTCCTATGTATTAGGCACTATGCTAGCAGTTGGTGGGAACACTGACATAGGGAAGACACAATCAAGTAGTTTAATTTAGTGCAGTGGTTTGTAAAGTATAGTTATTAGTCAGCTGTATCAGCATCATCTATGAACTTGTTAGAAATGTAAATTACTATGCCCTACCCTAAACCTTCTGAATCTAAAACTCTGGGAGTGGGGCCCAGCAAGCTGGTTCAACAAGCCTTTCAGCTGATTTTAAAATTCACTGATTTACTAGGCTATGTGAAAGAAATCCCCACCTAACCAGATCATAAGGCAAAAAATAATATGCTCTAGGGATCTGGTGGAGGTAGAACTCAGGAAGTGCTTGAGAGTCAGAAAAAGGTTCATTCATTCATATTCACTCAGCACACACAGAGTGTTCTTATGCTACATGCCAGGCATTGGGCTGAGTAAGCTGAGCACCCAAAGGTGAAAGAGATACTGATTTCAAGGAGCCCATGAAAAAGGTGACCTATAAGATTGGTCTTACAAGAAAGCCAGTAGTTTAAGTACATAATTGCATTTTTATTATGATCTGATTGTAAAAGAAACAAGAAATGACAATAATAAAAAATACAATCATTAATTATTATGATGGTACTAAAGGCGGTTAATTGAAACTCAAAGCAGATTTATGGCTCTAAATATCTAAAAACACAGATCCAAAATGTGAAGTATTTTTTTAAACTGTTACATTCACTTTAACACTCATTAATTTTATTCATGCTCAGATATATTTTGACAATTAATTATAAAACACCTGTAATATGAATTATCTTAAATATTACACTACCAGCAATAGGAATCAGCACAGAGTCTTTAGTATGTTTTTCATTCATGATTGATTTATTCAACAAATATTTGAGCACCTTAGGATATAATTCTAGTTCTTCATCTCTTAATATTTAATTATTTATTTATGTTTCTTTCCTTTGCCTCTGGAAATATTGCCTCTATCTTGAGGATTCTGTCTCAAAGACACTTAGAATACTCTTAATGGATTTAGTCTTAAGAAGGGAAATATAGGAAGAAAAAAAAAAAGCATAGATTTTACCCACAGCAAAACATTTTTGCTGATGAAAAGTTTGAGATTTCAGGTTAGGTGCTTAGTTCAGAAAAACCATAGGGAGAAAAAGCACAGCAAGAACTAGTGAACACATTTTCAGACAAAAATTCATTTTTTTCCACCCTATCCTACACAAGCATCCTATCACTTCTCTCCTTCCACAATAGTTAATAGGTTACAACAAACCTCCAGGTAGAGGCAATAGAAGAGGCATTTTACATATTTTAGGTTAATCCCCTGAAGTGGGGATTATAATTTCCATTTCACAGATGAGGAAACTAAAGCTGAGAGGTGAAAAATTTCTGCTAGGAAACTTCTGCTGGAGCTGAGATTTAATCCAACTCTGGAACACTCCAAGGCTGCCCTTTCTCCACTTCCCTATACTGCCTCCTATGACAGAAAACTTTTTAAAAAAAAACACACCAGTTATTTAGCACCTACTCTGTGCCAAGTGTGTTGTTTATCTTTACTCCTTTGATCATTCTTCAAGGAAAGTGTTACCACAGTATTTGTAGCTGAGAGTTGAGTACTCAGGGTCTCATTACAGCAAAACAGGATTTGAACTGAAGTCTAGCTTTCCACACCTACCTTTCAAGCCATCAAGGCAGTTGCTGTTGCCACTAAAACTTTTTTTTTGGGGGGGGGAGAATAATACTTGTCACACTGATTTCACTATTGTTATAAAAATCATAGCTATCAGAATCTATAGATCACCAATGTATGTTAAAACGTAGATTCTGATTCAGTATACCTGGGGTGGAAAAAAAAAAAAGCAATTTCTCATCAGAGTTGAGTGGGAATGAAGGACTGGAAGCCTTATCTGAAAATAAAATATATAAAGAATTAAGAAAAATTGCAAAACACCTCTTAGCTTTGATCTTGCTTTTTTGATTTAGCTTCTCACTTTTTTGATTTAGCATTTCACTTATTTAGCATCTAATACTCTTTCGACACTTATCTTTGGGAATAATCAGAGTTGTTCATATTTTTCTAGACATGCAGATAAGTTCCAATAAACTGATATCTCAAGAAGGATGCAAACAATGAGCATTTAGAACATGTCTGCAAGATTTGAAACAGAAAAATATTATTAGTAATTACTAGGAATTAGACTTTGTTACTTACAACAATGTTTAAATTAGAAACTGTCACTTCATTATACTTATTAGTAACTGCAGACAATGTACTTGAATTTCAATCTACTTCCTCATTCTGTATCAAAAACGAAACCAAATTCACTGCTATCCAGTCCATTCTAACTCACAGCACCCTACACGGCAGAGTAGAACTGTCCTGCCGGGTTTTCACCTTGGAAGGAAGGTTGGGCAATCCTACTTCCGTAGTGATACTGCCTGGGAAACCCAAGGAGGGGTCGCAATGAGTCGGGTCGAACTCCACTGCACATAACAACAACAACAACATAGGGTTTTCAAGGATGTAAATCTTTATGGAAGCCAACTCTCTCACATTTCCCCAGCGGAGCGGCTGGTGGGTTCAAACCGCCAATCTTTTGGTTAGCAGCTCCTTCCTCATGCTATGATCTTGAATAAATTATCTCCTGTCCCCCAGTTTCCTAACGAGAGTGATATATACTTCACGGGGTCGTTATGAAGAATTAGAGTTAATCCACGTAAAAGGCAGTACTTGGCATATAGTAAATACTTAAAACCTTTGGCTGTTACTACTAGCGTTTCTCAGCGGCTTATTATTTTCACTATGGAGAGGTTTCCTCTGACCATTATTTCAGAGAACAAATACCTGAGTTCCTATTATGTCCCAGATGCTGGGGTCATAGGGCATTAACTAAATAAAGTGTCTGGTCTTAGTGAATTTACATTTTATCGAAGGATGATTAGGAGTCAAGGGATAAACAGTGAAAAAAGGAGAATGAGATTTCAGACAGGATAAGTACTATACTAGAGTAACGTTGATCTGTTTTGGCAGTTCAGCCAGAAGGCTCCTTAGATGCGAGGATGGTGAGATTTCATCTCATATACTTTGGACAGGTTATTAAAAGGGGGTCGTCCCTGGAGAAGGGCATCATGCTTGGTAGCGGATCAGCAAAAAAGAGGAAGACCCTCAAAGATGGATGGACCGAGTGGCTGCAAAAATGGGCTGGGCAGTGTTTCCTTCACTTGTACAGAGTCAGGAGAGTCACTGTAAGTCAGAAATGACTTAACAGCACCAAACAACAACATACCTGCCTCTGCCTCCTGACTTGCTCCCGCCCTACTTCCCCGGAAATCCCTAAGGCCTCTGCCATTGGACGTCACAGGAAATGCGACCAATCGTGGCATCCTAAACTTCTCTTTTTTCTCTGTTTTTGTAAGACTTTAAACGCCCGTTCACTTCTTCAGCTATCATTTTTTTTCATTTCTTTTTTCCTCAGAAGCATTCACACTCAGGCACTTGCTCTTAGGTCCCGTTAGTACGCTAGAGGCGGAGCTGGACGCGCGGCGCAGCTGCTGTGACGACACATTAGAGTCACTGCCCGATAAGGTCATTTCCGGTACGCTTCCTTCGCTGAGCCTTGTGGGTGACCTGCCGGGGTCTCCAGGCGACGACGATGGCGGGGGATGTGGGCGGTCGCAGCTGCACGGACTCGGAGCTGCTGCTGCACCCGGAGCTGCTGTCCCAAGACTTCCTTCTTCTCACTTTGGAGCAGGTTGGCCGCTCCGGGACGGAGGACGAGAGGGTGGGCCTGCCGGGGACAGCCGTTCGGTCCTGAGCTTGCCCAAAGTATTCCTCAGTGGCCGTAGACACTCGCGTCGCTCCTTCCGCCCCTGTCCTGCCACTCATCCTACACAGATCTACCAGTTTTTTCCCCATCCCCGTGCCTCTCCCACTATTCAGAAAAGAATGCCCTTGGAAATCAGGAATTCCTGGGAAATGGGATTTTTTTTTTTTCCTTCTGGGTCTTTGAAGGCTCGGAAAGAGGTATTCCGAGGCTTCTGTAAGCTAGGGCTGGAGGAAGAGAAGAATTGGGGAGAAAGAACGAAAAAGAGAAATTGAGAGTAGAAATCATAGACCATAAAGGTTGGAGGGCAAACTGAGGAAACTGAGGCCCAGAGAGGTGAAGTTACTTATTTAAGGTCACACCATCTAGAAATTGTACATCCCTCAGAGAAACCAGAGCTTCTGATTCTCAGTGTAACGTTTATGATTTTGTAGCTTCTGATAATAGGAGAAAAAATTAAAAAGTGATGTTTTGCTTAAAGTGGTAGAGAATTACTGAAAGGTTCTTTGGGCTTTTATGTAGTATATTTTGCCTTTTCTATGATAGTAAGGAGCTCTGGTAGTGTAGTGCCTAAGGCATTTGACTGCTAATCAGAAGGCTGGCAGTTCAAACCCACCAGCCACTCCTCGGAAGGAAGATGGGGCAATCTACTTCCGTAGTGATACTGCCTCGGAAAGCCAAGGAGGGGTCGCTATGAGTCGGTCCGACTTAACGGCACATAACAACAACAACAACAAAGGAGCTCTGGTGGCACAGTGCCTAAGGCATTTGACTGTTAACCAGGAGGTTGGAGGTTCAAACCCACCAGCCCCTCTGTGGAAGGAAGATGGAGCAATCTACTTCCGTAAAGATGTACTACCTCAGAAACCCAGTGGGTGTTGCTATGAGTTCCAATCCACTCCATGGCAGTGAGTTTGGTTTTTTGTTTTGTTGGATTGTAACAAGTATTCCATGTTAATTTCCCCTCAGTACTTTGTCTTTCTCTAACTTCCTCAAGCCTCCCTGCTAAATAGATTGATGTTCTACATCAGAATCCCTAACAGGCTTGTTAAAACACAGATTACTGGGCAGCTCCATCTCCAGAGTTTCTGATTATAGGTCTGGGGTGTGGTCTGAGAATTTGCAGTTTTAATGAGTCCTTGGTACTCCTGCAGGGACCACACTTTGTGAACCACTGCCTTAGGCAGTACTTCCTAAACTAATCTACCTTTTGGGGTCTTGTCCAAGAGAATTGCCAGGGTTTCCCCATACTTCTGAGTGAGTGCAACATGAAAAATTGATAATAAGTGATGGTCAAATATATGAGATAAAAGAAGTAAGGTGTTGTGTTTTTTTTTAATTTTAAAGAAAATAGGAATTTTTATCAGAGAACATAGATTTATTTGGTCACTTGTAGTACACACAGTTTTCAAACCTTTCTGAAATGAAGTTAAAGAGCTTATGATCTTATTTTCTTTCTCATTTTTCCTTCCTAAGTCCAAATTCCATCTCCTTAACCACTCCTGTGCCTCAGGATGTATGTTTTCAGTGATGTCGAGAACAAATTGGGAAATGTGGGAAAATGAGATGATTCAGGTAGGGATGCTTAGACGATGACCGGAATCTACTTGAAAGGGGCTGTGATAACATGCACAGGTTATTCTGATGATATCATTGTCATCAGTAAGAGGACGGCCAAAGTTTCTATTTTAAACATCATTTGAAATCTTGCCATTTACCCTCAGTTTAATAGGAGCTCTGGTAGCACAGTGTCTAAGGCACTTGACTGCTAACCAGAAGGCTGGTGGTTCAAACCCACCAGCCACTCTGTGGAAGGAAGGTTAGGCAATCTACTTCCGTAGTGATACTGCCTGCAAAACCCACGGAGGGGTCGCTATGAGTTGGATCCCACTCAATGGCACATAACAACAACAACAACAACTTGGAGGAACATGTAAAATAATATACAGGGTGAGACTTCCAGCCCATTAATCTGATCATGATGATAACACTCAAGGTAGCTGTGTGGGAGAATGTGGTAATTGTCATTGTTGGCTTTCTTTTGTCTGTCTTCTCCAGTTAATTGCATATATTTAGTGCTCTTCATAGGTTTAGATAATGCTATTGGAAATGTTCTTCATTTTTGGTATGGTAGCTGAACAGTTGTGGACAGCACTCCTTGCCACACTGAGGGAATGTGACAATTGTCTTTAAGATGAAACTGAACCTAATATTTACAGAGATTAACCTATTTCTAACACCACCTTAAGTACCTTCCATGAGTCCCTGGGTGTTGCATATGATTCAGTTCTTGACTACTAGCCAAAAGGTTGGTGGTTTAAACCCACTCAAAGGCTCCTGGGAAGATAGCCCTGGAGATCTGCTTCACAAAGATCACAATCTTGAAAACCCTTTGGAGGAGATCTGCTCTGCCACATGAGGTCACCATGAATCAGAATTGACTGGACAGCAACTAACAGCAACAACATAGGTCTGTTAAGTGGGTGTGTAATTGTGAAAATGGTTTTATAATTCTTTTAAATAGTAATGTTTTACCACGTTATGTCGGTAGTTGGTTAGTTATTAAATAACAAAATTGTTTTAAAATTACTTTTGTTTTGTTTTCCACAGAAGAACATAGTTGTTGAAAATGATGGAAGAATAAATAAAGATGATCTTACTGATCTTTATGTCCAGCATGCAATACCATTGCCTCAGAGAGATTTGCCAAAGAATAGATGGGGGAAAATGATGGAAAAGAAAAGACAACAGCATGAGATAAAACATGACACTAAAAGGTACTTTTTCAGTGGTTCTAGTTTTTATTTTATCTTACATGACTAAACAATTGATCCCCACCCTCCAAGAAAACTTAGGTAAAACAATTCATTTAATGAACAACTATTTATGGGCCAAGGAGCCTTGGTAGCACAGTGGTTAAAGCATTCAGCTGCCATCCAAAAGATCACCAGTTCTAACCCACTGGCCATTCCAAGGGAAGAGATGTGGCAATCTGCTTCTGTAAAGATTAGAAACCATATGGGGCAGTCTAGTCTGCCCTTTAGGGTCATGGAGTCATAATCCACTCAACAGGGCATGGGTTGGTTTATTTATTGAGCACCAGGCACTGTAGTTATAGCATTGATTAAAACCATCAAAAAGTTCCTGCTCGTATTTTAGTGAGGAGAAACAATAAACATAATTTCGTGTTAGACGGTGATTAGTGCTAAGGAAAAAAGCAAAACAGGAAGAAGGATTATAATGAATAGGACCAGGTCAAGTGTGCGCCCATAATGTACCACGAACAACAAAGAGGCCATTAGGACTGGAGTGGAACAAATCAAGAGGTGAGTAGTAGGACAGAGGCTTTTGAGGGTGGATGGAGGAGACTGTCAGAGCATGTAAAACTTTGTCAGTCATTGAAAGAACTTTGGTTCTTCTCTGAGTGAGATGAGATGCCACTGGAAGATTTTGATCTGATAGAAACTTTTAACAGGATCACTCTGTTACATTGAAAAGTGATTCACAGTGGAGGATACAAGGGTGAAAGCAGGGAGACCAATTATGAGGTTGTGTAATAGTCCAGGCAGTAGATAGTATGGTGGCTTTGACTAAGGTGATACAGTGAAACCTGTGAGAGCCAGAACTTGACAGGACTGCCTTGTTTTTCTGGCTCTCACAGGTTTTCTGCCTTTGACGAGGTACAGTCTTACTATTCTATTGCTTGTTTTAGTAAAAGGTGTTTGCATTTTACTTTGACAGGTATTCATCTTACACAAGTTCTAGCTTTTGCAGGTTTTACTGTAGTAGTGGATGTGTTAAGTGGTTGGAGTCTGGATATACTTTGGTGGTAGAGTCAGTAGGGGTTGCTGATATGTGAGAAAAAGAGAAGAATCAAGTAAGACTCTAAGGACATTGAATAATACAGAAATAAAACTGTCACATAGCTTTAGATAGTTTAAAAGTATTTCAGAAAAAAGCATAAAATCACAAGCAAATTAACTTTCTTTTTTAAAGAAAAATACATTTGCTTGATTAATGTAATTGATTAGTTAGTGGGGACAAAGTTTCCTGAGATTCTTAAGTGGGCTACATCTGTTTTATCACAAGTGGGTGCTATTGATCAGTGATCAAATTCTTTTTAAAAAGGGTCTTCTGTTTGTAAGGGTTGTCACAGATGATGCACTGGAGACAATAGGAAAAGACTAGGGTGTGGTAAGGAGCAGCCATTGTCAATACGAGTGAAACATGTAGCTCTGAGTCCTTGGTACAGTAAAACCTGCAAAAGCTGGAACCCATGTAAGGTGGACACCTGCCACAGAAAGAAAACTCAAATATCTTCCAATAAGAGAGAGAGATAGAAAAGTGGTAGGACTGTAGCTAGGTGGAAAACGTCACAGAGCCAGAAAAACAAAGCAGTATCCTTGAGTTCTGGATCTCACAGATTTCACTATAGATTTAATCTCTGGTAATAAAGGAAAAACTCATAATTATTAGGGATAGTACTCCCCATACATGAGACTAATTGAAAAATACATGTGTTTCTGGTCCTTTATGAAATAAATACATGTACAGGCTGGACTTTGATTAAAAACACAGTTCAAATTAAGTGTCATTTTAGCTTAATGGTTGCATTTCGGTTCAGGCTTTGTGTTAGTTTTTTTCAAAAATGTATGAATTATGCTACATACACCTTTCAGTTTAGTTTTGTTGATTATTAAGGTAGTATCTTGATCGTCACATTCAAGCATGTTCTACTGAGCAAAGTTTTCAATGCTAATTAGACTTTCTTTGAAAACAAACCTGTATGATGCGCCTAACTAGTTCTTCAGCATCATTTTGGAAAGGATCTTTGGCTGTGTTTAAAAAAAAATTCACAGTGTGATTCTTAAATCAGATTATTAAAGCTGGAAGGATCTAAGAGATGATCAAGTATTGTTGAATACACTTATTTTATAGCTGGAGGAATTGAGATCCAGAGAAATGTTGTGACTAGCCCATGATAACACAGAGCTGGGACCAGATACTTAATAGAGTGCTTCTTGACAAGCTTTTATGTACTTGTGAGTCTCAGATTGAACTCTCATGAGCTAGTGAACCCTGCTCTCAGTTTACTTTATTTCCCTTCTGAAATGGCAGTGAGTGTACAGTGAGCTTGTTTTTCCATCTTCTATCAAATGATGTTCACTGGTGTCCCATGAATTGGTGAGTTTGGCTGAATCTGGTTAAAAATGCAGATTCTGATTCAGTAGTTCAGGCTGTGGTCCCAGATCCTGCATTTCTAACAAACTCCCAAAATGATGGTGATGCTCTTGGTCTCAGGACCATCTTTTGAATTGTAAGGCCAAAGTGTTCTTCAAATAATTGGCTTCTCAAGTTCTTTTAATCTGTTTGATTAAAATATTTTGTTGTTTTAATAAATCTGTTGTATAACTTGAGATATAAATGAATAATGAATGTTTCGATTATTTACTTTTATGAAGAAGAGTAAAGGTTAGCTTTTTCAAAGCTAAATGTAAACACTTGCCAAATTTTACAATTACAAATTGCACAAATGTTACACAAATGTTACCTTAGAGAGTGCTTGGGAGCTCTGGTAGCGTAGTGCCTAAGGCACTTGACTGCTAACCAGAAAGCTGGTGGTTCAAACCCACCAGCCACTCCTTGGAAGGAAGATGGG